AGAGTGTGAAGAAGCCATTAAAATAAAGATGCAGCTAACCACAAGAGTTTAAGTTAAATCCATATAAATTTGTTTTATAAAAGGTTGTAGAGTCCTTTTCCACCTTTTAAATGAGCAAGAAACAAAAGAACGCTGCCACCTGTGCAGAGATATCAGAGTTCTTGTAGAGCTTAAAGGAGTCGTAGCTTACTGGTATTGCCATTTTTATTGTACTCTTGTACAATATTGAAACCACTGAAAACTACTGTTGAAAGCCACCACTGAAATCACTTTTTGCTGATTCATTTTTCTCAGAGATTGATTCTCACAATGAACAGGTCTTGATCTTTGCACTTTTTTGTTATTTTCCCAGAAATGTAAAATGCTCTCTTCTAAAATTTGGATAAAGAAAATGTGGTATACACAGGAAATAATGCATTCATTTATCATCATGTGCCTCACTTTTTTTCTTTTTTTTGTAATCTGGAGCTAGCATAGGATTTGCCATTTCTAAATCAAAATAATTCAATAAAAAAATTGGGCGTACAGAAGAGACTCCACCAGTATCTTGGAATTGGCGTAAGTGCAAGAATTTTTGTTCATATGAACAAGGCGGAAAAAAAGTTCTCTTGTGCTGTGGTTTTCCTCACACAGGCTGGACTACAGTTAGAGCTGCTTGCCCGTTCCCAGAAGGGACCATGGTACTGCAATTGCCAGCGTAGTTTGACAAGACAAAGCTGACTGCATCTCTTCTTTTGCAGATGTTGAGATTTTCTTTAAAAAACACCTAAGCAAAGAAAAAAAACCCCACAACAAACAAAAAAACCAAATCTAACAGAAGGTCTGAAAAAACATCTTCTAAGATCTGCTTAGCTTTTCAAGCCTTAGCTCAACCCTTGTTTGCATTTCCTAACTGACATTGCTTCTTTCTTTTTTCTCAGTTTATTTTTTGGGCAGCATTTCATTTCACAGATTTCAGGACCAGGGACAGTAGTCACGGCGGGCGCCGCTTCCCACTGAGTGGTCCTGAGGATTATGTTAGACTTCCTTTCTGTTTCTTTTTCTGTTCCTTTTTGACGTATCTTTTTTTTTTTTTATTAGTAATACATTTTGGCATTTAATCCAACAGTCCTTCTGCCTACTTCCAGAATATTGAAAGAAGTGACAAAATGCATCTTGGCAATTAAAGGGAAGACAGATACTTCAGAGGTTAGGTGGTTTAAAGCATTTAGAAATTTATTAAATGGACTCAGCCAAGCATAATGAATCGGATGTTACAAAAAAATCTTTGAAATAGAGTACATACATCTGGTGAAAGTAAGATCAAAGATGATACTTGTTTTGTAGTGGTGAAGTTTCTTTGCTTTTTTTAAATCATGTTTGTGTAGAGAGTTGCGTAATGGGGTTTGCTCTGAAAACCATTTCTAGAACATCCACTGTTACTAAGATTTTGTCAGAATATACCAAGTACACAAAATTTTAGAGGAAACAAATCTTACAAACTATCTTGCCTATGATCTTTTTTTTTTTCCTGAAATCTAGCATTTTTATTCTAACGCTTTACATTCAGCTTTCAAATGTGTTTGTAATTCATTCAGCTTCAGTTGTAATCCGGAATAGTTTCCTATTTCTCTTTAAAAACTGATGTAGACTTTTTGATTTTGTTTTATGAGAGCAATTCCATTCCCAGCATATTAACTTCTATTCCAACAAGTTTAGGAAGACTCCAGCCTTCAGATGAGGCAGAACGTGTGTTTCATTAATACTGTTTGCTGAGGAACAGGAGTAACTGCCTTACAGTTAGCAAACATAAGTTTCAGAGGAAAAAACTAACCATGGGCTTTTATGCATAAATCTTGGACTTTCACTATATAAAATTGACTGTAGCTGTTGTTTGCAAATGGCAGGCTATAATTATAGCCTAAAAGGTAGATAGTGTCTACAATCTGCATTGACAGTGGGTTATCAATGTGTCCTTACGAGATCTTCAAATAAAGTAGTTGTTGTTTTTGTTGCTTACAACAATTCACAGACTTAGGTAAAATTAACTTACTAATACTAACAAAATAATAAGCGTTTCAAACATTGTTGCACAGGTAAATATTTGTATAAACTTGAAAACTGTTGTAAAAGTCCTTTGCTTTGAATTGAACCCTCATAATGTTTTGAGAATACATTCTTTGCTTTTATATGTGCACAAAAAATTAGCTCAGCAACTGTTACCAAAGAATTTATTTTTCACAGAGTCCTAATTATCATAGAATCATTTAACAGTAGATGACTACAGATCCAAAGTAGAACTAAAATAATCTCTTTTTACCGATTATTATGTCAGACTGTTCCACCTCGAGCTGGAGTTATTAGTGCACCACAAAGCCATGTCCGTCCCTCTGGGGGAAGACCAGTACCTGAAACTCAAACCAAACCAGCTGAACCACCAAGGGGTAAGTTTACTTTAGAAGTTAAATATAAATGACACTATTCAGTCAAGAGGTACTGTCTCTGGTTTGAATGCTTTGTTTTCAATAGATGTCTTCATTTTTCACTGGAAATTAAGATTCCTGAATGAAGTAACAGTTGGCAGTTTCTGTTAGTATTGATCATCCACAAGTATTGAAAACCCGTATCAGATAATAGGCAGCAGTCAGAGGAGATCCAGACCCACAGAGTTCACGCCATCAAGAGAAACTTCGACCAGATTGCTGTGTTCTGGTCTGGGCATGTTGGTGTGTCGTGTCATAGGTGTTGATCACTGGATCATTCTCTGCAGTGGTTGCTCTGTAATCATAATATTTGGAATAGTGTTTATGTTTGACTCTAAGCCACTTCCTAAACTTGATAAAGGGTTTTTTAAAATTGCATTAATATCAAAATATGCATTTTATAATAGTGACTTCCAAAATGCTTTTAAATACAACTGAGGTACACTTAAGAATTACATGATTTCTGGTTCTCTATTTTGTATCTACAGTAATAATTTTTAATGGAAATATGCTGAGCATTTGCTGTCTTCTAATCTAGTTGCCATGAAGACCTGCTGTTCTTACAGCCCCTTCTTCTGCAGTTCTGTCTCGTGCTTCCACAGCCACGTGTTCTCATTCATGCCATTCTTAAGATTCCTTTTACAATTTTTTACAAAGAAAAACACTGCAAATATACTTGCAGGCTCACCATTGCTTCCTGAACCACTAAAGCCTCAGGCTGCTGGACCTGCTCAGCCCACCACTCAGCCACTGCCTATGCTAAGGATGCAGGAGCCTCTGATACCTGTGGCATCGCATCCATCTCAGACAAGTGCCCCACAAAGTCTGGAACCCCCACAACCACCTCCTCGTAGCCGATCATCTCACAGTTTGCCTTCTGAATCTGCTCCTTCACAGCAGCAAGTAAGTAAAAAACCCTGTATATACGTTTTTTCACTATATAAATTAACACAGCTTGTAGTGAATGTTGTAGATTTGTGAGAAACTCCTAAAGCAAGCAAGCAAACAAAAATAAAGGTCAAAAAATTGGATTCAAAGATCATCAGGCTCTAGAAGGAAAATACTGAATTGCTTATGTATTGCCCATGAATAACTAACATCTCAAATACTAAACATTTAACTTAAGATTTTGTATGACAGACTTACAGCTTATGGACAGCTTGTTCTTAAAATTATGTTGTCATTTGACAACTTTGTATGGAAAAATACTCAGTCTAAGAAATTTAATTTTATAATGACGCATGACTTAAACTGTATAGTAAGAAGCTAACACAGGTTTTGATTATAAAGTAAGCTTTATAGATTGCATGATGTGGTGCTTTATGTTGATGATAATTCATTGCGGGAAGACAATACTGATAGATACTTAATAGAAATACATTTCTCCCCATTCACCAGTGTCAATTAAAATATAGAAACGTATCAAAATAATCTGAAAATTTAATACAGTAACATAAATATTCTGTTCTGTGGGACCATTTAGAGTGTTATTTTCAAAAAAAACCCTTTTTCTAGGAAAAGCCATAGTTTCTTATTGCTGTTTAAAAAATGCAGAAGTAGGTTTTCAGTCATAAGTAGGTTTTTAGTCATAAGACTAAACTTCTTCACTAAAGGCCAGTGCTGTTAGTTTTCACATATCAGGTGCTAGGCCAGATAATACACTACTTGAATAAAAGCACAGATTTATTGAAGCTGATGGATTTGTGCCCAGTTCTTACCAAGAGTAAATTTGTGGTTTTCTGGTGTTTGTTTTTTTCAAACGTAAACTTAGCTGTGGATATTTATGACTATGTAAGTTTTCATCAGTATTTCAGATTTTACCTTATCTCTACATCTGAAGCCCACTTTCACTAAAGCAGTTAGTTAATGCCTATTCTGTACGACAATGAAGCAGCCAAATTCAGTCCTCAGTGAGTTGATTTTGAATTCTAATTGAAAAATCTTTAAATGCTCTTCCTTTCTTTTAACCTCTCTCTCTGCCTGTTAACTTTTTTTCATTTTGGAAATATAGGCCAAAAAACAGAGGATATTTTTGAATATACAGGTAGAATTTCAGGACTTTTTGTAGTTTGTTAGAAAGTATGAAGTGTTGTCAGCAGAGAATATACATGGAGGCATAAGGCACTTGAGAACACACCGATTTTGTGAATAGAAACAGATTGCATTGTGTCACTTTTGAAAGCCTCACAGCTTCTAAACGTAGTTTTACCACTGATCATTTTGTGAAAGAGGTGCAAGCAGTTCTTTCAAAATTATTATGAAAATTACATTTATTTGTGTGTATACACAGCAATCAAAAATATGCATAAGAACACTGTAAACAGGTTTTTGAGCTGTGTAATGCTGTGGCTATATTGTTAACAATATCCAAACTAGATAGTTTAAGACTAGTTCAGGGAGCTATAATTTTCTCTGCAATCAGATTTCTTTCATTAATGCAGGCTGTGCAATCACAAGGAAGGCCCACTTCAAGCTTCATTTATTGTCTCCAGCTTAGTTTTTTTATTTCCATTTTCTTTTTTTTCCTTTTTTTTTAAGTTTAGTTATAGGATGTTTATTTTATTTCTTGATTATGATTTGTAAATATGAAGTTTTCTGAGAATAGGTCTTTAAATAAATACAAAGTCTTTTGAGAGGTAGTGGATTCCAAGTCCATCCTTTGATTCAAAGCTTGATTGTGATATTTAAGAACCTAAATCTCTCCTTACAAAAATAAGTGCTTGTATACAGTGTGAATATTCAGGACTCTGTAGATTACCAAGCAATACATTAAAAAAGAAAAATAGTTGTTGTAAACAGTTTTATTTATTGTAAATTAAGGAGATTTTGTTTTTTGATTGAATGAGAAGTCTTGTGGGTTTTTTCAGCTTGAGAAACTATTACTATAGATGAGTGATTATACCAACACAGTTCCCAGAATGAGGGCTATAGTGCTTTTCATGTTAATAGATGGTTAGAATTAGACCATCAATAGTCAAATTCTTATAGTCAGTCTTCAGAAAATAGCACAATCAGCTGCACTATGAATGTCTGTATGGAAATAACATTAGAATTGGCTTGAGCTGTTTTTTTTGACTCTTCATGGTAGAGCTTATAAGTCGTACAATAGAATAGAACAGAAATTTTAAATTTAGTATAGTGTGTAATAAATATTTTTGGTTTGTATTCATATCTCAAAAAATGGCTTTGTGAAAACTTAAAGTATTTTTAACATGAGGTTGCTTTGTTACTTGGATTCTCTTCCTAATTTTCTTTCCTTTGATGTCTGTTTCTCTTTCACAAGCAGGAGCAACCATCAGGGTAACAGGTACCTGATTATTTACCAATCTTGTATGTGGTCTCCATCCATTCAAGCAGAAAAGATGTATGAATCTTGTTTTCATACATCTGCAGTCTCATCCATGTTAAAAATCACCTGTCCACATTAATGAATTGACTGTCATACCATAGTTTGCTTTTTCCTTTCATAATGCAATTAAAATTGATACTGTTAACTGTATTTATTAGTGCCATAGCAAGTATTTTGCTTCATCATCTTTTATGAAACAACTGGAACCTCACGTATGTTGCTTAGTCACTGTTGAATCTCCTGGTCTTAGTCTATTTGGAAAAAAATGAGTAGGTGTTGGAGTTACATTTCTCTTTAATACAAATAAATCCTGATGCAATTGCACTGCCAAAGTTTTTTCAAAATAAAACCTATATTTCACATTTCTCAAAGAACAGAGAACTTACTATTACCCAAAGTAAAATATACTGTTTGTTACAATTTTAAAAGAATTTGGTTCCAGAATTATTCAGAGCAAATTTTCACTTACAGTAAAGAGCAACTGGGATTTGTAGTTTCTTTGGGATCTTGTACTTTTTGGTTACTTGGTTAAGGAACACAGGACTTAACCAGCTGGTGCCAAGCTGCATTTGATTTATATTCTTTCTACAGTTCAATTTTTCACATTTCCTCTCTCAGTTACTTGATGCCTTTGTTTTAATACTATTTTCCAAAACATTTACTATATACATATAAAAATACCAATATTGAAGTACTCTATTTATGATTTGGTTACATTAGGCCTCATCTGTTTCAGAAACTCTCTGATGTAGTAGTACCAAGGATGCATGTAACTGACACTGTTGTTTCAAAAAAACCCACCAGAGCACATGCATTGTTGCCAGTATACTTCATTTCTCCTGCCAACCAAGTCAAGCTACAACTGCAATTTTTTTAAAAGAAATTGCTATGCTGGTTACATAGGGAAAAACTTGTAATATTCTTATTATTCCTGAGAGTCTCTAAAGCCTGTAGACTAATTTTGCATAGCTGTTTAGGCAGTGGATATGTGGAGACATGCTTCAAACTATTCACAATAAATGTAGTAAAACCAGGATGTTTAAAGATTGAGTTTAGGCTATAATAATATTGTATTTTAGTTGATAGTTTTAGCTAGCATCCTACTTCAACAAAACATTAGTTAACAGAATTTTCATGCTAAATATCCAAACTATTTGGGTATATTAAGGTCATGTGTTAAAATGACAAATTTGTTTGTGAAATTCAAATTCTCAGAAGCTGTTTTAACTTAAGCTTAATTCTTTGCATTCACTTAATAAGGGGAAGCTCCAAACTCTGTTCTGTCAGTGTGATGACTTGAACAAAGGTAGATATTCTACCTTTTTGGACAGTTGTTACAAGGTATAAAAGTTGCATTGTTGTTTGAAGAAATTTATAAAAACAGGAATATTTTGTTTTTAAAAGATGAGAAGTTCTGTGGAGCAAAGTGTCTTCTCTATTTGGTATTATTCTAAACAATGATAACTTGCCATTTTAAAATATTACAAACTGATGATCGTATCTTTACATGTCAAGAAGCACTGGAGATGCCTACAGATGCATGTCTATATAGAAATGTCTGAAGTGCATATACTAATAACACTAATTTTTCCTTTCATTGTGATGCTTAAATATTGCTTGTAACATCAGTGTTACAAACTCTCAAACAATGAAGTCTAGAGCTTTTTATTTCATATTTGTGCTGGGTTATCACTTGTTTAGAATACAGCATCATTTCCCAAGTTTCTTAAAGATTTTCTTATACAATGTCTACTAGTGCTTTTGGCTAGGATTCTGACCTGCATGAAGTAGATTCAAGCTGCATCAACCAGCAAGGGGGAAAATTGTGTCTAACAACTAGTAGGCTTTTCTTCAGAGAAGGGGTTAAGGGTTATTGTTTTCCAGAAAAGAAACAATCATTCTACTACAAGTGCGTTGTGCAAGTTAAAACCAAATTGTATTGAAGTTTTAGTTTAAGCCCAAGAGCTTCTTTTCTTCTCATAGAAGAGTGAGAAATGGGGAGTTAGTAATAATCTTAAAACAGACAGCCACATGATTACTAAGCACCTTGTTTTCTTTCCAGATTAAAACAAATGGAACGTACGGCACTAAACTTGAAACACAGTTAAACAGTGACCCTTTTGAAGATTTGTCATTTAAGCTGCTTGTGTCAAAGATGCAGACATCTGTTCGAACATCACCTGTTCCGACTTTAAACCAAAAGGAGTTGATGCAGCTGCCTTCAGCAACACAAGGAAATGCTGATGTTTTGAATACTGTAAATTGCATGCCAGCAATGCCTCCTATTCCAACGTTTAACACATCCCAGGAACATATGCGCAGCTCTCCAAATCCATTTATTACTGGACTGAACTGCACAAATCCATTCACTGAAAGAACTCCTAATGCTGGAAACCCATTTAGAACGGAAACGCAAGAGTCTGAAATAACTTCACATTTACTAGAAGGACGTGCCGCTTGCAATCCTTTCCCTTCTCTAAATCCCCCCAGTTGTAATACAAGCAAGCCTGTATTTTCTGTTGATGCATCTGAAAACACTTTTTGCTTGCAAAGTAAATCTCTCATGGTAAAAAATGTACAGCCAAAAGGATGGGTAACGTTTGATGATGAGGAGGAGGATTTCAATGTAAAGCTAAAGCCATCTAAAAGTGTTCCAGATTTTAAGCAAATCAGTTCCAGGAAGTCAGCTGGATCTCCAGATTTGCTGGGCACCGAACAAAATACTTTTCTTGGTTCAGACTTTAACTTTGATAATGACTGGAATAAAAGTTCTATGGATTGCTTCTATACAATGCCAGCAAGACGACCACCTGCACCTCCTGTACCATCAAGAATAACCAGCAACAGATCCCCCACAGATCCTTTCACTTCTTTGGCACCTAAGGTGTCACCAACACGAGATTTTACAGAAAGATAGAGGTTCAAAAATATAAGAGGTTCTATTTGTTGTTACATTTATCCAGTAGAATAATTGGGCATTTGAGATTATTCTGTGTGCAATAATTAATTGTCAAATGCACTGAAACTTAACTCTACTCGTAAACAGCCACTATTGTTTGTGTATAAATTTTGAATATGTATATATGGTAGAGCACAAAAAATTGTCTGAAATTTATTAAAATCCTGATGTAATAGTGTTTGAATAGACAGAGAAAAGAAGGATGAGCTACTAATCTCATTAAAATATACCAGTCCTGGAAATAGTTTTTGCTTAGGGAGCTCTCTCATTTCTGTTCCCCTTTGTGGAATTTCAAAAAAAAGAGGCTGCCTGCTGGTAGCCTCCCCACTCCCTTTTTAGTGTTTTGTTAATTGATATTTATAAGTACTTACCAAAGAGCTGCCAAAGTTTATAGAGATTTGAATGTTGACAAGTATTGTTCAGAAGTTGTTTAATTTATAACAGAGGCTATGGATATTTGTAAGGCTTATATTTGAATTTGAGGCACAACAAACAATTTAATTTCAAAATACGAACAAAACTTTGCATATTAATATATTCAATATTTGACTTTAATTTTCTGTCAGTACATTTCAGCTATTAAATATTATTGTGACATATATTCACTAGCATTACTTCAGAATAATTGTTCCGTATCATCCATTTATTCATTACTATTTTAAAGATACTTTTTTCCACAAATTGGAAACAACTGATACAAGAAGTTTTCCCTCAACCTCTGGAAAAAAATTCCCCTTGGGTTTTGAGACACAAAGCAGTCTTTACCAGTTGCAGACAACATGTTGGAGTTGGCTTGTCCCACTCTCCTCTTTTGCACATTAGAAGGGCTTTCTTGTCCTACAGAAAGACCTGAGTGAGGGAATCAGCAGCCATGTTACAACATCAGAGAAAGAGAAAGTCATCTTAATGTGATTGGGCTGTCCGTTCAGCATCCTCCCCATCTACTAGACTTACTGCCGTATTTTTAAAATCTTACTTTCAAAGAAACCAGGAGAACAGTAATTCTCTGAGCTGAACCATATCATTCTGTCACTTTTGCAGTTAAAACTAAATGAGTGACTCTGCCTCGCCCAGAGACAGTGACCATCCTCTGTGTGGTGCTGCTTTGAGGCTAGTGAAGGCTAAGTCGCAGTTCTACATATTATGCTACAGAAACGCAATTCTTTGCGCTTTATGATTTTTCTGAAGCTCACATGAGATTACATAGAACACGATATTTTGTTATCTTGAGGCAATTTAAAATAACTGATTTCCTTAGCTCCATTTATGTATGCTATAAAACCCTGCAGTTCTCCTTACAGTGTCTTGGGATGTAACTCGTATTCGCAGCTGTGTGCTTTCATCCAAAGCTGAATGTGTCACAACGTTGTCATCTCTTGGGAGACTGCAAATACATGACTACACGCACTGGCTTACTTGCGAACAAACTGTACTGGTTCTGCAAAACCAGGGACTGAAACACAACATACTAGCATTATACTTACAGTAGCAAAATACACGATGACAGTACTTTTTTTAAATTCGCAAATGCTATCAAAACATTATTTATAAAATAATCCACTCTTCCTTTAAACAGTGTATGGTTGGCCGTGAGATGCAGTTGGATAGAGGAGTGACGATAGCGAGTTTTATATTGTGCTTTTTTCCGTTCAGGTCATTAAACAGTACTTGTACATTTTAAACAGCAGTGGTACTATACTCCTTGTGCTTCGGTATGTGAATTACCTTGTTTTAAACTGTTGCTATAAACATCTGTGTGATTGGTGTTTTGGTATATTCTTACATTAGCAAAACAATTTTTGGGGGAAACTTTTTGCTAGTGGGAGTTACGTGATAAATATGTTCTTTGTTGACTATTTAATTACAGTGATTAAAAACTACTGTCTAAAATGTACCTGGTATACAGCACCTCTACACTTTACAGGATTACAGAGGTCTGCAGCAAAGTACTGCAAAGATCACAAGAAATGCTCCAAAAATGTCGTGTGTGTGTGTATATACATATATAGCTAACCGCTGTAACGTGTATTAACGAAAATAATTACTAGCAGAAGTTCTGAAAAGACTAAGAATTAAAATTAGAAACGCTCAACACATTTTCATGAATTCCGTGTTCCCTGTGGTAAATGGCTGTGTTCAATGTAACGGTTTTCCCGCTCGTGGCACACCGGTGTTTATGGCTGTATCCCTTCCAGAGCTGCACTATCGACGCTCGGTGGCGTACAACATTCCCTACCTGCCCTGTGGAAGGCGGTGGTGTATTCATGAAATAAACGTACCTGCCCTTAAGAAAGTTTAGCTTTTTCTCTCGTGGTACCTCGGGTACTTCCCCGGGACCCTCCTCCCCCCAGCGCCCCCTCCTCACAGCTACCGCGAGGAGGGGTGCCCGGACCCTTTAAGCGTCCCTGGTGACGACAGCGGGAGGGCCGGAAGCGGAAGCGCCCGCGGGCCAGAGGGCAGGGTCGGCGGACGGGGCGGGCGCCGGGTGGGAGGTAG